CAACACGTGCGGGGTAAGATAGATATCCACAGCTGACGCTTTTGTAGAAAAAAATAAAGAGACCGAAATGTGTGAGTATGAGGAGCTTCAGAGGCTGGCCGAAAAGGATAATACGGAATAGGATCTGAATTTATTTAGGGAACACTTCTCCAGCCTGCTGAATTGCAGTGAAACTGGAACCCCAGTACGGAGCTGGCTCTATGCCGCTTTGTCTGAATTTGATTTCAGTGTATTACTTAAACGGCTGTGTAAGCTTACGCTTGACAACATCAGAAGCTCAGTCAGCATTGAGCAAGACCTGTCGGAATCGTGCAATATCAAATGAAATTTCAGACAGGTTGACTACTTATCGTGTGATATCTTCAATTTGATGCTTGAGTAAGTAATAGGAGCTTCATGTCTAAATAGGCAGATACATTTTTATGAGAGTGTGCAACTGCTGGCGTATACCGCAGACGATTGGGCGATCAGCTGTACGAGTTACACGACACTATTAATATAGCTCAGCAAATAAAAGACAGCTCATCATGTCGTCTGAATGAAACTATTCGACGCAGCAGAGGCAGTTGAAGACCTCCCACTCCAATGGAGGCATGAGCTGGAAAGCGACTTGGTTTCACTTAGTATTTTCACCTGGTATCAAAGAGCGAAGAGAAGAACCGAATGGCCCGCTATTACTTATTCGGATATTATCATTTAAGCAGTACATACGCCAATGAAGAAGAAGATTTATTTGCTATCTATGGAAATTAGTGTTGAAAAATTCCAAAATTTTTATTTTTCACAATTTAAGAATTCTAAAAGATTAAATCATATTTGTCGCCATAAAACTATTCAGCACGTTTTATATCAAATTTCTATTGATTTTGGCAACTTACAAAATTGAACACATGATTTTGTTGTTGGCCTAATCTTATTCTATATGTAACTTGCATATGCATATATGTATGTTTGTATATAAGTGAATATATAAAATGTTCACTCTTTGCTCAAATTATTAAGAGATTTATTATATATGTATATTTATGCACAAAAAACAAAAACGCTCAGCCGATTTAGTGATGCGCAGTTAAAAATACGATAAAGCACAATTTAATGTGCGATTGCATAATCAATTATCGAATTCTGCTGTGCAAACAAATAGCGATACGCTTGAATAAAGTGGAAGGGGAGATTTTTGAAAATAAGTTTAAAAATATCTGAACTGGCGGAAAATCGCTTCAGCGCTTACAAAGCGCCAATTATATGTATATATATATATATATATATATATATGAACTTATATATAAATATGTAAATGGCTATAATTCTCCTAATGCAGATGAGTTGCTGCGTTAGGTGTTGGTGTTGCTGATGGCAGACGACACCTAAGCGAACGCGCAGAAACAATTGAAATGTCATCATAATTGGAACATTTTAAAATCGCAAATGGCAGCTGATAAGGGAATGAAAAGAGCACACAGAACTCTTGAGCTGCAGAAACTGAGAAAAACAATAACTAAAATCAAACATCCTTCGCAATCACTTCCAATCAACCATCATCCAATGCTCATTCAATCACTTGTCAAGTCTTCAAGTTTTCAAAGCTCATTTGGCGCTAAATTGATACATTGTTTGTTCGACGCTGAAGAAGCCATTATGCCGGCTGAAGCTGTCAGTTATTGATTGCCCTTTATTGTTGAATTTCTATGTGTTTGTTGTCAATGCTACTGTCATTGCCAGCACGCGCGTCTTTAAATAACCGCTTATTTGTAACGCAATTTACGAATTACGCAGTCAACAACTGGAAGACTCTTCTTTACCTTGTCTTGCTTGCCTTTACAATCACTTACTCACTCAGCATTCGAGATCTTCTTAGGTATGTATATATTTAGCGGGCGTTATAAATACGCCTTTGAATAAAATTTAAAATTGCATTGTCTGTGCAAATACAAATGTATGTGTGTTCAAATGTCTGCGTATTCCGTATTCCACAGAATTCACCATAATGAATTAAAAAAAATTTCAAAAAAAAAAAATTTCCAAAGAAAACAGAGATAAATCCATGTGAGGTATGTTAGAAGAAGGTCCAAGAAAAGAAAACTGCCTTTGTATAAAAGTTATATTAAATTTTGAAGGATTAGGACCACCAAACAATAATATGAGATCAAGTAAAAAGTTCGTTCGGGTTTTATCTGTTGGGTTGCCCAAAAAGTAATTGCGGATTTTTCATATAGTCGGCGTTGACAAATTTTTTCAACGGCTTGTGACTCTGTAATTGCATTCTTTCTTCTGTCAGTTATCAGCTGTTACTTTTAGCTTGCTTTAGAAAAAAAGTGCGCGAAATTTTGTTTACATTTGTTTGTTTGGCGTCAATTTTAATATGGAGCCCACAAAGTAGCATTTTCGTCATATTTTACTTTATTATTTCCCTAAAGGAGAAAACGCGGAGCAGGTTGCTAAAAAGTTACGAGATGTGTATGGTGATGAAGCCTTAAAAGGAAGACAGTGTCAAAATTGGTTTCGCAAATTCCGTTCTGGAGATTTTTCACTTAAAGATGAGCCATGTTCAGGTCGGCCAAATGAAGTTGATGATGACCAAATCAAAGCATTAATCGGATTGGTTCGTCATGTAACTGAGCGCGAGATAGGAGAGAAGTTAAATAAACAAAAATCAACCGTTCATTATCACATAAAAAGTCTTGGACTGGTGAAAAAGCTTGATATTTGGGTACCACATGTATTGAAAGAAATTCATTTAACACACCGCATCAGCGCTTGTGATATGCACCTTAAACGCAATGAATTCGATCCGTTTTTAAAACGAATCATAACTGGAGATGAAAAATGGATTGTTTACAACAACGTTAATCGAAAACGATCATGGTCCAAGCGTGGTGAACCAGCTCAAACCACATCAAAAGCTGATATCCACCAAAAGAAGGTTATGCTGTCTGTTTGGTGGGATTGGAAGGGTGTCGTATATTTTGAGTTGCTTCCAAGGAACCAAACGATTAATTCGGATGTTTACTGTCAACAATTGGACAAATTGAATACAGCCATCAAGGAGAAGCGACCAGAATTGGTCAATCGTAAAGGTGTCATATTCCACCAGGACAACGCTAGACCGCACACATCTTTGGTCACTCGCCAAAAACTGAGTGAGCTTGACTGGCAAATTTTGATGCATCCACCATATAGCCCTGACCTTGCACCATCAGACTACCAATTATTTCGATCTTTGCAGAACTCCTTAAATGGTAAAACTTTCGGCAATGATGAGGCTATAAAATCGCACTTTGTTCAGTTTATTGCAGATAAAGGCCAGAAGTTCTATGAGCGTGGAATACTAAATTTGCCAGGAAGATGGCAAAAGGTTATCGAACAAAATAGCAATTATATATTTGATTAAAGTTAATTCTAAGTTTTATTAAAAACGCATTTACTTTCTTTTAAAAAATCCGTAATTACTTTTTGGACAACCCAATATTATCAATAAGATATGGCGTTATTGTCCACAGCGCTAGTGTCACGTGTCGCGTCATGCCATACACCGTATAGTAGCTCTACTACCGACAAATGGACCGCTTGAAGGCATCACTCAACAAGAAGAGGCCATCTTTGATTAACAGAAGCCGAATTGTGTTCCAACAGGACAACGCCAGGCCACACACGCCTTTGGTGACGCGCCAGAAGCTCTAGGTACTGGGATGGGAGGTCCTAATGCACCTACCTAATAGTCCGGACCCGGCACCAAGTGATTACCATATTTTCCTATCCATGGCGAACGCGCTTAATGGTGAGAATTTGAGCTCAAGATCGGCCTGTAAAAAATTGGCTGTCCGAGTTTTTTGCCAATAGGGACGCAGCCTTCTACGAGGGGGAGTCTCTAAAAGATTAATTCAAACAACATTATTCGAAGACTGCCTTTTATATTTCGAGATTTCAGAAGCCTGGTGCTGCAATCTGCCAATTGGCAACTTTATCGTATATTCGGCATATTTTGACACATGAGCGTTATTTGTGTTGTTTACCTTATTTTTTAATATCAATTCGACCATAGAAAGATATTAAATCGCCAAAAATTTCGCGCGATAAATGTTCACCATCAAAGAGAAAATACTTTCCATTCTAGAATTTTCTCCGTTAAAGGCTATGCAAGTCAGGCAGCTGAAATTGTGAATAGTCTTAGTACTGTAACAGCCAATCATGCACAATTTTGGTTTCGACGCTTTCATTCCGGTAGTATTGTTGGAAAACATGCTCCACGGAGTGGATCCACGGAGTGGATAGCCAAATGTCGAAAATATTGATAAAATCACGATCGAGTCTGACCTTCATACGACCTCTGTTTCGATTGCCCAGAAGCTAGGCGATGCACAAAAAATATTGGAATCACTTAAAAATGGCTGGCTGCACAAAGAAGCTGGATGTATGTGTGCCCCATGAGTTAACCAAAAAAATCATCATGAAACGATCTTTAGCCATGGCTTGACTACAAGGAAGGTTTTATTGTATGTTTGGTGAGATTGGTTAGGAAAAATTCACTAAGAGCTGACCGTAGGGAAATCAAGCTCTTTATTCGTGCCTCTACTATCAGCCATTGGACCGTCTGAAAGAAGCAATCACTCAGAAGCGCCAACAAAAAGACAATTTCGCATTATTAGAGTAATGCCAGACCACTCACATCAATATTTACTAGGCAGAGGCTCAGAGAACTTGGTTGGGAATTTTTTCCACGCATCCAACTTACAGTCCGGATCTGGCACCAAGAGATTATTATCTGTTATTGTCTATGGTAAATGAATCAGCTGATGAAAAATTGAGATAAAGATAAGCCAGTGATCGATTGATCCAATTTTCGCCATTGGGGACAAGAGTTTCTGTAGGTAAGAAGTTATCGAGCATTCGAAAATAATGGAGTACTTTTTACTAGGCAAATATTATGAAACTTTAACAAAGTAGCCTATATGTGGTAGAGTAGTATAAATCCATAGCAGCGATTTAAAAAGGCACTGCGAAAAATTTGATTTATTTAACACTAATTTATATACTGGTTCTGCTGCACTTTTATAATCCCTTTTCACAAGTGTACTATTGGATACTTTTCAATCCACTTTAAGCCATCTAACGTGTTTGTTTTTGGCTTATACTCACAGCCAATCCAGTCACTGTAACCCGAGGATTTTATTACCCCAAAGACATATGAAAAATCCAGTTCTCCAGCAACATCAGGCTCATGGCGATGCGGAGCCTGCGCAATTTGTATATGCCCGATAATGTCCTTGAAGTCCGCAAAAGCATTTGTGACATTGCCCATGATATGTTGCAAGTGAAAAATATCGATCATTAAACGTATATGTTTGCTGTTAACTGCACTTATGACGCTGCTTGCCCTTTCAAAGTTATTATTGAGGTATTTTGGCACAGCGTATGCACTGATCGGCTCTATCACGCCCAGCATATTCTCTGCTTCCAAAAGACGTGCTGCATATTTCAAATTATTTACATAGGTCCTCAAATGTGCCGCTTCGTCTGCCTCAATAAGACCAGCCATTATGTGTATATTTTTACACTTCAATTTCTTAGCAAAATTGATGGTTTCCTGCAGTTGAGTGGCAAACTTCTCCTCTGCATTGGGCACGCTAGCAGTGCCAATTTTGGAGTCACCGAAGTTGATGGTCAGAAGTGCAACTTCAATGCCTGTTTCAACTCTTGCCTCAGCGACTGCACTCAGTTCCGAGTTCGGATAATTCATTTCGACTGCTCGAAATCCAGCTTTGTGTGCCATGCGGATTCTTTCGGCTATACTATTATTGCCTTCAGTAAATAAAAAATTTAAGTTCGCTGCTAATTTCATTGTTATCACTCGTCTGAAGTTTAAATGTGAAATGTTTGAACAAATCGTTTCACAATGTTATGCGAGCATACGAAGTACATGTGTGCCGTTGATTAGGAGATGAGAGTGTAAAAAGTGTTTTTTTCTTTCTTTTTTTTTTGAACTGTGACAGTTTGCAGGTAACACTTATCACTTGATAACACTTATCAAAAAAAATTTGTTGTTGTTTTTTGTGAGAAGTTCTTAACAAGACTAGTTAGAGAAACCTCTCCAGCAGTGCTGTTGTTGTTGCTCTCTGTGAGCAGTTCTTATCACAATATTCAGTGTTGTTATTCCAGTTGCTTTCTGATCGCTGGGCATTAGAAAAAAAATCGGAAAAGGCATAAGTCATTTTTTTTTAAATTTACTTTTTTTCATTCTTCTATCTTAAACAAAATTTTAACAAACGCCATGTTAGCATATACTTTGCCATGAACAAGATGATACTTACATCAAATGCATGATTTTTTATGGATAGAAGGGTTGCTTCTCTCCTTCCAATTTTCTGGGATGTTCTGTTTCGGGGTACCCAGGCCATGACTGTGTTGCATTTAGCCGACAGTTTATTCAGCTTGCTTCTAGATTTCATAGCCACTTTAGAGTTGGTAATGTTATATTTTAGAGATCTAATGGCAGCTTGACTGTCAGAGTATATCAATGGGTTCTGCTTACAAGACGCTGTAGTGGTCTGATAATCTCAATCTCATATTTACTGAGAGCATCGAAAAAGTAGCCGAGTGGTTAGCATTGTGTACTACCAATCGGAAGGCCAGGCTTCAAATCCTAGTACGACCAACATTCAAAATTTATAGAAAATAATTTAAATAAAAATTGAGCTAAATTTTCTAATTGCGGTCGCCTCTCAGCAGAAAATGTCAACCACTCCGAGTGTATTTCTGACATGAAAATCAAAAGCATAAAAAACCATCTTCCGTTCGGAGGCGGCTTAGTATAAACTGTAGGCTCCTCCATTTGTTGAAAAAACATCAAGATGCAAAACCACAAATTGGAGGAGAAGATCGTCCTCAATCGCTTCAGCGCCAAACATGTATATATAGCGGAGAGTGGATTCCACGGCTCACATATTTATCCAACTTTATACTGCCTATAAAGATAGCTATGGCTCCCTGATCGAGGCAGTTCGTTCCTGTTTGAGTTTCTTCTTGAAAAAAGGTTGTCTAAGGAGACATATACTGGATATGGTGTAATCCCGCACTTCTGGAAGAGTTATTATTTTATCATGGCCTATCTTGTAATACCTCTAAGGTTGAGCTGCAATCAATCTGATTATAGCTCGCTTGTACTTTGCCGTCCATATCCAGAGGAAGGGAGTTGAGTGGAGTTAGCTATGCTTTTGAGGGAGTCGATGGCAGTGCTCGTATAACGAAGATAATATTCGGTTTTAGATCCCATTTTTTTCTCATATCGGCGTTTTCCAAAAGCCAAGTACTGTTATAGCATTCCTTGAATTTCTGCCTTGTTCCGGCCCTAATTGAGATTATTCCAAGATAATCTTAGCTCCCCTACGACTATTAATATAAACGACTTGAAATGGGGTGGATTATTCCTCCTGGTAAGCAGAACGATTTTGATTTTTTTCTGGGCTCACATCCACCACGCTGCCCTTGCACCTTACCCCTACTACGTATAGGGAGTTTTGGAGCAGTTGACATAAAGTTTGTGGGTGCTTATCTGTTGCTGTTAAAGCAATATCGTCAACATGTGCCAACGCACCGTAGTCTGTGCTGTTAAGTTTTCGAATCAACGTATTTGCTGGGAATCAAAATTCTCCCTGAGAGCTATCACTTGTTTTGTATCTGGTGATAATAGCGATGTCCATCTCTGCGATAATTATTCCGTTTTTCGGAGTGACTCTACAAGTGAGTTTTGTACGGTCTATACTCAAGAGTCTCTCCAATAAAATTCAGGAACAATGTTATTAAAAGCTCCGTCTATGTCGTGAAATATACTAAGCATGCACGACGTCAAGGAAAGTCGTTTTTCGATGCACCCGACCAAATCTTATGGTGTTGTTTCGCCAGATTTGCCCTTAGAGTGTGTGGGTTGCTTCTTCGGGAGGCTTTTTTAAGTGTATAAAGCTGTCGAACAGCTTTTCAATGATTTTAAGAGACTGATTGGCCGCAAGTGTTGATCCAAAACAATGTAGTTTATTCTAAGGTAAAGATTACTTTAGTCTTAGTTTATGCTTGCGGAATATACCCCTCCATTAGATAGGGCTTGTAAACTTTACACAGAAATGGGGATCAGATATATTCAGTCCTCTGTAGTTTATCGGATATGAAACCAGCAACACCTGGGCAGTTAAAGGCAAGTCACTGATAACAGAGATCAGAATCGGCTATAGTCTGAGATCACCACGGTGTGCTCTCTAGCTTTCATGTCAATCCAGTATAGTTTTCTTCCAACTTTAGTTAAAAAAGTTTACAGTTTTGTTCTGATTTGGCTTAAAATGTGCCAACACTTTCACGCAAAAACTGATTTACTGCTTAAATTTTTATTTTATCTTAAGTGTTTATGAATAGAGTACACAAACATATACACAGGCATACACCTTTCAACTCTTATCTCAGTGAAGACAAATTTTCTTATCAACTCTGTGAGTATTTTTTCCATTCGCATTTGGTGCTTCAGTCAGTGATATTTCGACATCAAACACAAGAAGTTCGCAATTATGAAACTAGCGGCAAATTTGAATTTCCTATTTACTGAAGGCAATAAGAGTATTGCCGAAAAGATCCGCTTAGCACACAAAGCTGGATTTCGCGCGGTGGAAATACCGTTTCCCAACGCCGAACAGGACGACGTCCTACAAGCAAAACTGGACACTGGCATACAAATATGTCTCATCAACATAGCGCTTGGCGACTCTAAGTTTGGCTCAGCCAGTGTGCCCGGTGCGGGGGAAAATTTCAAGTCTCACTTGGAGGAAACCATCAATTTTGCTAAGAAAGTGAGTTGTAAGAAAATACACATAATGGCTGGTCTTATTGAGGCAGATGAAAAAGAACACTTGACCACCTACAAAAGCAATTTAAAATATGCCGCACCTATTTTGGCAGCAGCAGGCATTGTGGGCGTGATTGAACCAATTAATAAATATTCGCTGCCAAATTATTTTATGAACTCATTTCAAATAGCGTACAACGTTATAAGTGAAGTGAATAGCAAACAGATACGTTTAATGATCGATATTTTTCACTTGCAACATATTATGGGTAATGTCACAAATGCTTTTGCGGACTTCAAGGACATTATCGGGCATATACAAATTGCACAGGCTCCGCATCGCCATGAGCCTGATGTTGCTGGAGAACTGGATTTTTCCTATATCTTTGCGGTAATAAAATCCTCGGGCTACAGTGACTGGATTGGCTGCGAGTATAAGCCAAAAACAAATACGCTAGAGGGTTTAAAGTGGTTAGAGAAATATCAAGTTCAATTGTAGAGCAATTACTAATAATAAATGAGAAAAGGAATATTTTGTAGATTTTATTAAAAGATAAAAAAAAAAATAAACTTAATCAAAAATACTCAAAAAATGTCTTCATATTTTTAGTGCAGAAATGGAAATTAATTTATCTTAAGCTCGAAGCGCGTTAGCATTGTTATGACTAATCAAGTTTTGTATTTCTTCAAACTAGCAAATCAGTTTCATTTTGAGTAATTTTATAATTTGAACAAAAGACCAAGCGAGCACGAAAATAATAAGTGGCGAAAAGGTGAATGAAGATATGTCATACGTTGTTAGAGATTAGAACGAGTGAAGAGCATGATATCTGTCGCGGAGAATGCACGCAGCTTTCGCCTGATCTACTTAATGAGCGCAAAAAGTACAAAAAATATATGACTTACCCTCTGCAAGAAGTCACCTTGCATTGCTATATAAATAATGTTGTGATTACACACGTCAAGTGTGGAATGGTAGACAAATCTATTGACCACATCATAAAATCGCGTGACGAGCTGTCACCTCCAACAAAGCATTGAGCAGCAAAGAAGTCTTAAACAAACTCTAGACAGTTTTCAAAATGTCCATGGCTTGGGTCCCTGGTCATAGTGACCATCCGTAAAAAGGTCATAAACACAGTAAAATCTTCCTCTTTCCTCGACAAAGGATATTTTAAGACTTCACCAGAGATAGGTGCTAATAGCAAATGACTGATTGAAACCATATATAATATATATATAATTGGCGCTTTGTAACCGCTGAAGCGATTGTCAGTCAAGCTCGCCCTCCAAATTGTGGTTTCGGGTCTTGATGTTTTTCCAACAAATGGAGGGATCTACAGTTTATACTAAGCCGCCTCCGAACGGCTGACGGTTTTTTTACGAAGAGCCTTTATTTCATGTCCGAAATACACGCGGAGAGGGGGACATTTCCTGATGAGGAGCGACCGCATTTAGAAAATTTAACTTAATTTTTTATATAAACTAATTTTTCATAACTTTAGGATGTTGGTGGCACCGTGATATGAATTCGAGCCTTCCGAATGTCAGTACGCTATGCTAATCACTCGGATACCGCGGCCGCCAACCATATATAATATAACGAGGTAAATCTGGTACTTGACCGAGGTAAACAGAACTATGACATTTCTCCTTTGAAATTGGACCTCCTTAAGCATAACAACCGTCGTAAAAAACGTACGCTGTTTAATGAAGACTCATGGTAGAAGGAAGAACTGCTATTCAAAAGTATTTTGCTGCAGGTCGAGAGATATAGATGGGTAAGGAATAATGAAATATTACCTCTACAGCTGCCCAACTGTCAGTTCGGGTCGTTATAATTTTTTGCAGAAATTTCTTCTTCGATAGCCTTACAGAGCTTAAGTCTGTAGGCACCATTAATCTCCAGAATTCCATAAAAAAACGCCAGTTGTTTTATTTAGCATTTGAAAGAATGAAAGGAATCTTCTTAATAGAATCTGCATAGGTATGTAGATATGGACGAACTTTGGTTCCAACAAGACGGCCCTACATGCCATACAGCCAACGAAACAAGCAATCTAGTGAAGGACTTTTGTAAGCTCCATTATCTCTCGTTGTGTCTTTGGTGCGATTTAACACCGCTGGACGTCTTAGAAGAGAATATTCGGCACGTTAATGCAAGCAAACGAATCTAACTGCTGCAAAATATTTTCGAAAATTAGACTTCTCGGCTGGAGTTTATTCCAACTAGCCACGGTAGTCGCAAGACCAAAATCATTTTTAAGACATTATATAAAAAGCCTTGATATATATGAGTTTATTTTTCTTGAAAACCACAAGCCTAAAAAGACCGTTTGCCAGTCTAACCTCCAAGCAGATATTCATTCAAAAATAATTACTGTTTTTCAGTTAAGTAAGTAGTCGACAAAAAGGTTTCAAAGTTGCGCCTAGTGAAAAGTAAATCTTTAAGGAGTATAGGCACCATAGCAGTGTGAACATCTCGTCATCTCGGGCCGACTATTACGCAACTAGGAAATGTTGGATTGTACGATTAATGAACTGACATCTTCAGTATATCCTCCAAAGACTTACATCGCGCATGGGAAAGGCAGCTCGGTTCGATTCTAGAGCGCAAATTATTGATAGAAATGATTTATCAAAGAATCCGTATTTTTTATCATTATAAAAATAAAAACTTTATTCTTTCTATATAAAAAGTATAAAAAAAATAATTTTTTTTTTATTGGTTAAGCGGTATGATGAAATCCGGATTATTGATGAGCTTGCTAAATGCCGGGTTCCTCATAATATAAAGAAAACAAATTGTTTTCGTTTTTAAATTGTCGCATACTTCCATCTTTGTAAAGGTCGTAATGGTAAAAGAATAGTGTTCGCACTAATACCTTCCCAAAATAATTATAAACGAATTTGTAAAGGATAGGAGTAGCACCTGGCCGTCGTCTTCCATTAGGGGCCTCTAAATGCCCTTTATGAGCAGCGTCTGGCCTTCTATGCAACTGTCCTAGCCGCGGACAGACAGATTCATTGTTACTGTGTGTTGTATATTATTGTTACTGCCAAATGTTGATCTATTGATGTGATGTGACATTGCGTTGTGTTGATATGATGTGAAATATTGTTGTGATATTATTGTGTAAGCTCCAAAGCCTTGACTTTTTGGCCGTCACAACTTGCTCTTGGTTGGAATTTGTAAACATGTATTTTTGAAAGAATAAAAATCGGTGTGTGGGTGAATACCCAGTAAACACTACATTCGCTAACCGCTTCAGAGATACAATACAATGGGGAATGTTTTAGTCACGACTAATCTCATATAATTTTTGGCCGAGATTCTCCACCATTTCGTAATGTGCTTCTGGATGATTTTCCAACAAAAGAAAGAATTAATAAAGGTACGCTTAGCTCTTTAACTTTGACATAGAAATTTATTTCAAATTAAAAAAAAATAACAAATAATTTAGAAAACTTTAAAATTTTTAATTTATTTATTAAATTTCCAATTTAAAAAAATTCCAATATTCCAAAAATTTTCGTCTCGGGCCCTTTAAGGTGTTTACCAGACGACATAAATAAAGCCTTTACCTGCTCTATTATTATTATTGTTGTTTTCTTTACACATTTCGCGCAATCACGTAATTAAATGCTTATGCGTAGTGCGTTAGCGATTTGATGGTGGCTCATGGCTAGAAATCGCTTGCTGACTTCGCATTTGGTTACTCATACGCACCGGCGGCTGTCTGCGGATAACGTCCTTAGCGTCCTTAATTCTTTTTGTACCCATTTTATTTTAATTTCCTTTTTTGCACATAAGCAATTTGTCAATTTTATGAATTAATATTAAAATCCCACAACAGCAATAACAACAAATAAGGTGAAGAATATAAATAGCGGTAATATATAATACATATTTATAAGCAAACATTAGAGGAGGAATGAAGGCAGCGAGGAAGAAAATCAGACAGAGCGGATTGTTAATGCAAATACTGAATTTTATACTTTTAACATTTTTTATTTTATTTTTATATTATTACAGTCTTTTTTATTATTATAATATTTGCGATGACTTTGTAGTCATTTAGGGTTGGATTTTTGTTGGTTTTATATACATACATTTCTGATTAGTAGATTGTATATACATGCAGGGCAACACACACACACACACACACACACATTAATGACTCACTGGCATACAAAGCTTGTTGGCCCCGAAAGGTGCTACCAAAGCTATTAACAAGGTGAAAAGGTAGCATACTTTTAGGTATACCAAAGGCAACCTCAGGTATTACATACATCACGCAACTACATACATACATTCTTGCATAAAAAAGGCGTTTAATGGGCGTTAGAAGCGAAGTGTTAAATGCCTTGGCGTTTGCCAACCGAAAAGAGGCGGAGTTGCTGTGGCATTGATGGTAGCTCAGCAACGAGCTGCGACGTATGCTCTGTCTGCCATTTGGCATTGCGACATTCGAATACACATTTAACGGTGTCACTGGGAATTGGAGAGTGTCTGAAAAAGGTGGAAAAGCAGACACGCAAGCATACTTATATTGGGTAGTATCTTCAAGGAATCTAAAGGGCAAAGAGATTTACTTAGAACAGCGCCACCAGCAAGGCTTATTTGCCACATGCTACGTTGTGCAAATGAGGTTTGCTGTGGTGGAAGTAAGCATAATCATTTCGATGGTAGCGTTATACTTTTGTATAGGCAAATAGACACGCAAATTACTGCTCTTTATAGCTCCTTATAGCTTATCCCGTAAGTTGAATATCGTTCTATTTAACTTTGCTTCTACGCACATAATACACACACACATACATACGTACGTTTATAAATATTTAACTAAACTGTGTTTGCTACATTTGATTTATCACCTTAACAATGTTTTTGGTTGTTGTAGTTTTTTGTAAGCCTACACTTAACCTTTTTCCCAACTAACCATAACTATATATATACTAGTATACATTTGGGTGTTGAGGGAATCAACGAAGCACAAAGCATGCCATCAAGCAGAAATGGGAAATTAAGCTTAATTAGTATTAGCATGAGTTTTTAGGTAGTAAATATGTATGCGAACAAGGATAGTCCTAAAAATTCCTTTTCACGTTAATTTCAAATTTTCCATTTTCGATAACTTCTGGTGCCAATATTATTTCCTATGTACTATACGTGTGTAGAATACCAAAATTCATGCCCTTAGATGCTCAGATGCTCTTTTGATGAATTTTTGGCTCAAAATCTCGAATTTTAAAACGCTGTGGTGTATATATTGTGATCTGATCTGCCCTTTTCCAATAGATGATTATTTGAATAAAACAGTGCATCTTTGTACCAAGTGTTGGTTGAAATATTAAAGAAATTGGGGGACGAGTTGGCGTGAACACAGACGGACAGACGAACATGGCTAAATCAACTTGTCTCGTCATTCTGCACTGATTGGTGCACAATTCTATGGGTCTATCTCTACTCTTTCTTTAACTTGCATGCTTCGGACCAAAGTGACTAAGTGAAATGAGAGGATGTAAGCAGCAGGCGGCCGTTCTAAAACCATTTTGTGCGCTTATTGTGCTCTCCTAATTG